GTTTTGTAGAGCGTCACATAAGTCCTGTAATCTCAAACTTCAAATCGAACCATGGAAGACTCCAATTCCAGTTGTATTCCATAACTTTCAGGGAATATAACTCTCATTTGGTCTATGAATCAGTCAGTCAGTCTGTTAATGCTTATCAAATTAGTGTTATTACTGAGACATTTGAGCGATATAAGTCCATGAAGGTAGGTCAGCTTAAATATATTGATAGCTAATAGTTTATGAATGATAGTTTGGCCAATCTCACAAAGTATCTGGGAAATAATCATCTAGTAACTAGTAAGTATTTTAAGAGTAAAGGCTATACAGATGAACAAATAGCCTTAGTGTATCATAAGAGGATATACCTATATGACTATATAGATTCTCACGAAAGATTTTTGAAGACAGAACTTTTTTCATTTCATGAATTTTATAGTCAGCTTAAGGAGGGTATTTCACATGAGGATTATGAATATGCTTAGAAAGTATCAGTTGCAAAGATGCTTTTTAACTTTATAGGCATTATCTTTATAGACTAAACCATCATAATTTTTTATCTAAAAAAAGTGATTCTTTTACCCATATTTTTCGTCTGCAGATTTGGTAATATCTGTAAGTTGTCTGTTATAGTTCTTACTAGCAACTATGAATTTGGACTGTGCTGTTTTCTCATTCTATTCCCAGACATTAATGGAGATATCTGAATTCATCTCCTCTATCTTATTAAAGACTCATAGGCAGATAGAAGTTGGCATTGGGATCCTATCAAGCTTAGTTTTTTTCGAAGACTTTTTGCTTGATATATACGTCTATCAAGGTAGTCTGTAATTCCATCCTGATATGCAAAATAACAACTTAATGCTCTCCAAAGACAATTATCTGTTGACTTACCCGTAACTGGATCAATAATGTCTGAATTATCTGGGTTAATAGTACACTTTGTGTTGGCAAGCTTTTTGGGAGTGAGTGTATGAGTCTCTATGAGCACGATGAAGAGTGTAAGACTTAATTAATACTATTTTAATCCAGAGGAGGATCTTACCTGACTCTTCTTTTAGGTATAATTCAATCTGTTTATCAATTTCTCTACCAGAAAGAGTTATGTGCTCATCTATATATTTCTCAGAAAGGATTTTCTGCATTAAGCCTCTATGATATAGATGATGATAATTGGTTTTATAGTTAGCAGGATCTGAAATATCACCTATTCCTTTATATTTATATTTCACATATGTGACATTTATGATCAATAATGATTTTATTTGATCTTTTTTGTATAGCTCTTCTTGAAGAATACTTGTAATTGCTTCACATAATGAAGCTATAAGCTGTGATATGTATGGGTATCAGCATATTTTTTCGAATTATCCTGCTTTTTATTAAAGTATATGTAGGATTTTTACTTGAAAGAACAATCTCCTCCCATATAATCATATCTTTTAGAGATCTGTATTGTCTAATAGGATCACGTTGCTTTTCTAAAAATACTATATCTCTTTCAGGAGATGCAATTTTTATTTCCTCATCATTTTCTTTATAAATTAATCTGAAATACTCGCCAGTTGCATATTTCTTTTCTAGTTCATATTCTTACCTTTCAGCCAATGGATCGAGACCTGCTTCTCTCACTTGTTCTTCATTCTGTATGGTGGGGGTTTGCGTTTTCTTTTGAGAAATAATTTTTTTGAAAGTCTCTTCGTCTGCCTGTAATAGATCATGATATAGACGCTGATATGCTTTTAAGTTTAATGGCAAATCACATTCTTCACTAGTAACTTCAACTCATCTTTGGCATAATTTTGTGTCTCATATTTTTAAATGCTCTCTAGGCTTTCTTGCATGTCTATCAATATATTTACCCTTTTGAGCGTCTTGTCGCTTAACTTTGCTAGATTTTTCCTTTCTATATGCTTGAGTTAATAGGCTGGGACTAGCTTTGGGATCATCCTCTTGGTCTATAACCTGTAAAATGGAGGCTTGTTCGGGTATTTAATCAGAAGATTGAGGTCTGGTTATATATGTAAAGGTGGACTAGAAGTGCATTAGTTTTTATTACTTTTATAATACTGCTGAAGTTTTTGTGGGCTAGCAAAAGTTTTTTCACAGCAGATACATTTGCGATTCTTTTTATCTTTTCTAGCTATGATATTATAATAAGTCTAACCTTTAATATATGTGTAAATTTTTTCTTAATTTGAAATATTTAATCATATAACCCTTAATATTCAATTACTTTTTCTATTTTCAAATTTATGAGAAAATAGGGCTAAGAAGCATCAGCCATGCTCTGCTTATAATAGACTTACAAAGATAGATAAACCTACTGAGATAGATAATAGCCTATGTAATTATTGTAATAAGAGCAATTATCAGATCCAATATGTTAATAGGCTTCGGGATAAGGCTCAGATATATGATCAGTATACTTTACCTGTGAACCAAAAATCTAATCTCTGATTCGTAAGTCTAATCTCTTAACCTGAAGTTTAACCTCATTTTGATCTTATATTTGTATAAATAAATCAGTTCTAGAAAGGTTATTAGCATATTATAAATTTGTATATGTTGGAAATATATTATTTTTTCATCTAGAAAGCTTTTTTGATAAATACTAAGTTTAACCTTTGATTCACAAAATCTAACCTCTAACCAGAAGTCTAACCTCTAGTATATTTTTTTATTCCTAGTATTTTGCGAAGATTCAGCTCTAGAATGGTTTCCTGTGTATCAGAAAAACTAAGTATACAAGAAACAATTTCTTAGCTCTTAAAACCGTAACTTAATAACAGTTAAGTCTAACTTCAAAGAGGTTAGACTTAGCATTTTGGTACCTAGAGGTTAAACTTTGAGATTTTTAGTTAGACTTAGTGACCCTTTGTTTATGATCATGAATCAACTTTAGAATTAATTTTAGAATATCATAAATAATAATATACATATAAGGTTTGCAGAGACTCCACAAGCTTAGCTTCGAACCTTCAGTTCTTGCTAATTTTGTATCGCCTCGAATCCAAACAGAATGGTATATTTTTTTAATATATTATTTGGGATTAAAATTGGGCTAGAAAGGCTATAAGAGATTGTTTTATTCTTAGTATTGTGCAGGGTAATTTAATGCCAAATTGATACCAAATATTTAGATAGCGAGAAAAGCTTAAATTTAGGCTAAAGCTTTAAATTCAATAGAGGATTCGTATAGCTAGAAGGCTTTGAAAATATAATTGAAAACCTTCTTGAATATAATTTTGAATTCTGACCCCAGAATCCCTCTTTTTGCTCTACTAATATAATTATTGATGATTAAAAACAATATTTAATATATAAAATATAAAAAAAAAAGCTAAATTAAAACCAAATAAATATTTAAAAATTAAATAAAAATAAAAATTAACTCATATTACTCATATTTGACCAAAAATGTTCAAAATTAAATTATTTAAAATTTGAATTAGCTGGAAATTTATAATTAAAATCTTATATTCTCTCATAGTAAAATCAAAGATATAAAAATTAGCAACTTCAAATTCTATTTGTAATTTAACTATAATTGATACTATTAATTATTATCTTTAAAATTTGCATATTATATCACATGATAAGATATAGATTTGGTAAAAAAAATAGAGTATTAGCTATTTTTAGTGATAATTTGCATAAATTAGTATTATTAAAATTATCCTGTTGAATGATGATCTGTCTCTTAAAGTTATTTATTCTTAGTTCGATCAGTTATAAAAATTCTAAAGTGAAGATATAAATTTACATTAATTATAATAATGAGATTTTAATAAAAAAAAACTTATTTTATCAATTTAAAATGGAAATATTACTAATATATAAAAACACAAGTAGTAAATTTAGTTGACTTTGTTGGTTCAGAAATTTCAAATAATTTTATTTCATTGGTAATATTAGTTTCCATAGAAATTACAGATTCATTATCAAAATTACTATCTAATTCTAATATATTATCATCTATATTATCAGTAATAGTTGAAAAATAACGAAAAGCATTCATATTTAATTGAAAAAAATTAGGAATATCTGTATATATTACTATCTTCAAATATATCCTTCTCGGTTATTATATCGTCCCAACCCTCATTAATATTATTTAAACTAACATACTGATTATTATCCATACTACC